CTTCAGCGCCCGAGGTGGGGCTGTGCCCCGCCTGTCACCGTCACATCCTGAGGTGGAGGCCACCCTGTGCCTGTCACCAGCCGATCTGCGCCCTCCATCTCCAGCCCTACCATGGTCAGAGACATCTGCCTCCACCAAGTCTTGGCTGCCTGAGCCATTTGCAGCACGGGGAGAGTGATACAAGACTGAAAGACAGCCGTGTCCCGGGCTCTCCTGACTGTGGATGGGGCAGCCGCAGGCAAGCACCATCTCTGAGGGCCTCAAGAAGGAGCAGTGCCCAGCTTGGTGGCCCCCTCTGCCACACTGCTCCATTTCAGCTCATGATTTCTCCCTGGTTTCACCCTCCTTTTCCCAAGCAGACCCTTTGGGTTTTGATGGGGCTCTCTTCCAGCCTTTAGGGACAATGGTCACAAGTGGAGGTGTGAGGAAGAGGAAGGCCCAGGACTCCAGCAAGCCCCTCTCAGGCCACGGGATTGTCCAACCAAGGAACCTCAGTGCCATCCTCATGCTAATTTTTGGCTTCTTAAACTGAAGCTGGTAAGTCGAAATATGGCCAAGTGCTTCACAAGGCAGAAACTTCTGCTTGAAAAGTTTTGAAATAATTAGAAAACACTAAGAAGTAATGCAGAAAGTGGCAAGTTTTGCTATTCAAGTTAATTATTATTTTAATACAAAATACTAGGAATCAGCACTGTTACAAATCTTTTTAGTGTTTCACACTCAGAGCTTTATTGAGTTAAAACAGTGTTTCACTACCAGATTTTTAAAACTACTTTTTAAATTTCAATAAATTAGGTACGTCTGCATATCCGTCATCAGGGTTATCTGAGGAACAGGACTGCAGGCAGGACTACTCTGGATGTAGCTGAAGAAGCAGTTTTGACTGCTGCCTTGTAATTGCTGGTGATGGTGTGCAAGAAGGAAAGAACTCAGGTTAGATTCTCAGGCTGACGACGAGAAAAAGAACAGTATTTCTGAACAAAAACTTCTGACCCTTTAATAATGGTGAGATGAATTTTTTCCAGGCTGGAATCTCACACCCAAATGGGTACAGCCACAACAGACCTATATTACAATCAAAAAGTACAAGTGCAAGCCAAGAAAATTCCCAAACTCTATTTAATTTGCAAAGACTATTTGCAAAGACTAGTCTAGAAGAAATCCTGAGTATTTACTCAGAGTTAAGTTTTGTGCAGTCATTTCATTAAGAGATATTGCTAAAACAAAGCCAGCTGTGCTCTATCTACTTTATGACTGCTTTTATACTGCATTTATGTCTCCCGATTGCCTAGTGGCAAAAAGCAGCAGTCCTCTTTCCTATGAAATCTAGAAAGCTTTACGTTTAACAAAATAAATCACTCATATTCAAACATTTTGTGTTTTTTAAGAGAACATTATCTTTTCACCTACATGTATAATGGGCAGAGTGTCTATTTCCATGGAAAAGTGGTACCTTAATGACCCAGTTGGCCACGTCAACACTGAGACTCTCAAAGGACAAGCAGTTCAACTGAGTCCTATGGACAGCATGTGTATTATGAGCCCTTCGAGAGGGGCAGAGTGAACTAGGCTTTTGATTTCCTGGGTACGGGACTGCATATCACCCAAATGATTGAGTGAAGAGGTCAAGCAGTCTCTGGGAAGTAAGACCAACACAACCTCATCCACCTTTTCTGCAAAGCAAATCTGAGATCGGGTAAACTGCTTTAGTCTTTTTCAGTTCCTAGCGCTGCAGGCTTGGTTTGCTGAAGCATCAAACTAATGAGAGGTAGTTCTTTATGTGCATGCAGATGTAATACTAACAACAATTCTCAATTAATTTTATGGACTGCTTAGTCACAGAAGAGGTTCAGTGCTGCATTGTTCAACCTGCTCTTGTCCTTAACAATAGCAACCATCTCTATTATCAAACAAGCAAATATTCTGCATGCTTGGAAGACTTTTTTTTACCTCTGTTTACTGTTTCAGAAAGCATCAGCTTTTATAAGCATAACTTAAATTCCATGTAGCAGTCTGCAAAGCAAATAGTGTCCTTCAGTCACGGCTACTCCTCATCAGTAGGGACTGGATTTGAGGCAGCAACCTACACATGTGATCCTAATCTCCTAAATCACAGAATCACAGAACGTTAGGGATTGGAAGGGACCTCAAAAGATCATCCAGTCCAATCCCCCTGCCGGAGCAGGAACACCCAGATGAGGTTACACAGGAAGGCGTCCAGGCGGGTTTTGAATGTCTCCAGAGAAGGAGACTCCACAACCTCTCTGGGCAGCCTGGTCCAGTGCTCTGTCACCCTCACTGAGAAGAAGTTTCTTCTCAAATTTAAGTGGAACCTCCTGTGTTCCAGTTTGTGTCTGTTACCCCTTTTCTTATCATTGTTTGTCACTGAGAAGAGCCTGGCTCCATCCTCGTGACACTCACCCTTTATATATTTATAAACATGAATGAGGTCTCCCCTCAGTCTCCTCAAATGAATTGGTTCACTGTGGGGTGGGGATGTCTTGTGGAATGAAAGTTCAGCTTTCTGATTCTTCTTTGGTTTGTGAATATTGAAGTGGTTTCACGATTTTAAAAAGAGCTAACTCCACAGATCCTTCTGATTTGTTCGTATGTAAGCCAGAATACCAGTGACCAAGGAGCCTGTGAAAGCAAACACTGAAGTTAGAGGCTTAAAACAGAAGGGACCCAATAAATAAACCCATTAGATTAAACTGTCTTCTCTTAAAAATCATACTCTTAAGCTCAATCTCGTATCTTTCATACAAAAACTGTAGTGTTGCATATGGTTAGGGCTACCCAGTGCTTCATGCCACACCTAAAACTTTTTCTTCAGCTTGCCAACCCATGTTTGACCTGAAATGCTTTATACTTCAGGGCTACTTTGGGCTGAAGGCTTTATAAATTTTTTAAAGAGTTTACTTGCTCTAAAACCTTAATCAGAAAATTACATAGTTCTCCTTACATAAAATTTATATTCTGCACCCATTCAGTTAAGATGTGCTTTTTTATTATTATTTTTGCTACAGCAATAGATTGGTGTTTTGCAAAAGGCTGCCTTGTGCCTAGGAAATACCTTTTCCTGCTCCTCTGAAACACCTATTAAACATTCCCAAAATTACAAGCCTTTGGGAAATCTAAGTTGGTGTATGCTCTGTGGAAATTATGAGTAGTAAACTGGCAAAGACCCCATCGATACTGAATGTGCTCTGGCTCAGGGGACTGAGCACAGCCTTCCTGTAGTAATTGCTCTTACCAGAGGCTGTGGCCACTGTTGTACTCAGTTAAATTAGAGAAGGGAGGCTTTTGCCTTCGATCATAGTGTTCAATCTGGTAATTTAAAGTGTCAAGACCTTCAAGCCATAGACATAGCCATACTGTTAAGTTCTTACAGACTTAAAAATAAGGCAGTTGCATTTAAATTTGCTATTGAGAATGGTCCCTTGCCCAAACTAACAGCTAAGTTCCAGTTCCCAGGCTCCAGCTGCTGCTTGACTTAATGGTACAGGTGTAGCTTTAGCAGCCCAGCAGGTGGGAGAAAGCCACCAGGTGGAATACAAGAGGGGCAAAAGCAAGACCCGGCATGGAGGAGTAATAAAGCAATTCAGAGATCAGGAGAGCAGTAATAAAAGTATGAGGGGTGCAAAGGGAGTCCAGGGCTGGGAGTAAGAAGGGAACATCAGAGAGTTTGGGGAAGGGAGAAAGGAGGGAGCCTGAATTATATAAAAAAAAACAACCAAGAAAAATCACTAGCAATTAAGCAGGACAGCATTTTCCAAATTAAAGAGGTGCAAGAGGCAATGTGGGGGAAGTGACATTGCATGCAGTTGTGTCATCCACTACATTCAATTATGCAATTAAATAAATGGAGAGACAAAAATAGTTTCGGAAAAGTGTTGACACAGAAAGAACACCTTATATTTTAATGCCACGTTGTTCAACTGTCGTGTAAAGAGAGTTAAAAGGCACTTACCATTCGCATCCAGGTTGGTATAAAGCCTTTGTATAGAGACATAAACCCTTCGCCCTGTACAGTCTGAATCAAGCAGTCCATGGAAGACTTATACAGCAGACCTCTGGCAAAGTGCAAGGAGAAGAAATTCTGTTAGGACTGCAGATACACAATTTAAACACACATACAAAAAAATAACCTGTAACAGATAAATCTGTGCAAGCAAGAGCTCTTTTGTAAGCTCACTGGAGTCTCATCAGAACTGAAATCCACTAAGTAACATCCCTGGACATACAAAATTAAAACAATAAAATGATCATCCAAATGAAGAGCAAATTAGTGACTTAGCACTTCACTCCCAGTGAAATCAGTGAGACTCAGAGTTTCATTTTGCTACTGAAAAAGGTGGTCTCCAAAGTGTCCGTACCTTCCCTGCGAATCTCTTGGCTGGTTCATTATCCGGGTTTTTACCACGTCAGCAGGAGTTCCCAGAACAGCAGCTACCAGGCCAGAGCAGCAACTGTCAACAGCAACAGACACTTAAAGAAGAAACTAAGATTTATCACGATAATTTAGACATCATGATTCCAGTTCTCATTTATTATTACAACAGCTACCATAAAATCATGAGTAGTACCCCATAATTTAACATAAATTTGATTTGGGAGAAGGCTTGCTAGTATTCCTCTTGCTCAGATGTCTCCCAGCACCAGCTGCCCTCACCTCTGTGTGCAGTTTTGAGGCAGGGATAAAGGACCCACATACACAATTTATTATATTACTTATATAAAGCAGATTTCTTCATCATTTAAGGGAGTAAAAGCAGTTGTTCTGCAGTGGTTATACTGCTCATTCTTACTGTTTGCTAAAATTAAAACTACATTAGATAAAATAGCAGCAATTCTAGTAAAGTGAAAATTCCTGCACTTTCACACATGACAGCTAAGGTGGTTTAATGCATCAGCAAGGCACTTCTAGTGAGGGCAGTTTTGTAGCAATGGTTGCATCCCTTCTTTTGTGTCTTTTGTACAATGATGTCCTCTCAGGCAGAAGAAAAGGTATAAAGGTGCATTTTATCAGCAGCATCACCACCAAAGGTGGTTTCTAGACATTTCTGCTGACACAGAGATGTCATGCAGAGCAAGACAATGCTCCACAAGCAGAAGAGGGGTAATGGGGGAATACGGCACCTGGCAACACTGTGAGTCACACTGTTGTCCACCAGCGGCGTGTTCAGAAGCAGAAAGTGTTTCACTGAGTCATAAGTGGTCAGATCTGTGAAGAGGATCATGAGAAAAACCAGCATTGTCAGAAGGAAATGCTGTCCGTGCTGTTCACTGCTGACATAATGGAGGCTTGGCAAAACCTAACTTTCCAGCCACTGGCACGGCTAGCACTCTGCCCCTGGTTTCTGATGATGGTTGTGGCACCTAAGTTCTGTCATTAGACAGGTGAGTACGTGCTCCCCTCTACTACCATCTTCTTGATCCACCCTGCAAATGATAAAATGCATTCCAAATGGAAAATTCTGCAAAATAACTCATTAACCAAAGCCAGGAATGTCATGATAAGGACAGTTCCACCTCTCCATCATCTGTGCGAGTACTACAAAAATGTTAGAAATGTTAGTAAAAAAAAGTAGATGATGTCATGGGAGTTCTGTCATGTTCTTCTGAAAGCAGACGTGAGTTATGGCATCTGCATGAAAGACAGTGATCTGAACTTTAACAGATCGGGGTTACATTTCCAGTGTCCTGACCTGAAAACTTAAGAGCTCAGTCTACTAATGAGGATTACGCTCCCAGCTCTTCATAGTGATTTGCAGTCCAAATGTATCCAGTGGAGATCATTCTCCACTTGGAAAATAATTTGCTTGTTTAAGTTTACATGCTGAGACTGCACGTTAACGTTGTGTACGGAGATGTACCTTAGTTAATAGTAGTCATTTTACAGCCCTTATTAAACAGCTCCTGCTGCAAATGTTAACCATCCAGTGATTCCTTTACTGGTCCATCACACCATGCCTGGGCTGTGGACCTTGTTGATTTGGACACTGACCCTTGGACCATCTCCCTACCTCAACCTTGGACCTTTCTTATCACCACCAACCTGCTGGTGATCACTGAGCTGTGTCTGATCCTGGTGACCCTCACCAGACCTGGTGCTGGCTCAGCTTCCTGGCTGGGCTTCAGACCTGCCTCATCACCACACATTCCTGAGGATCTGGATCTCAATGGAGCCTGGCTGTTATTTTTAAACGACTTGATTTCCACAGGAACAAAACACTCAAGGCAGAAGTCACCTTGCAGTGCGTTTCAAAGAGGTCCCCAGTGTAGATAACCAAGAGACGAAGACCAGGGGAGCAGCTGAACTCTCCTTAAAGCTTAGATGCGGCCTTAAGACCAAGTTATGACATTTACCTCCCATGTTCACCAGGGCAGCTCTCTGGACATTTGGCACCCATCCAGCCCAAAGCCCCCGTATTCCTCCTTCTGACAGGATCTTCATGAATGCATGGTGCACTCCTCGAAACCTGAAATCAATACGAGTAAGTAGAGAGCCCAGCTATGGAAAAATCTTCGCATATTCCAGCACTTTGCTGTGCCAGGTCCTTACATAGGAAAGGCAATTTATACCTGTGAAAATCTGGCCCTCCAGATCCATTTTTTGATCCATTTTTGGATCCATCTTTGACTTTCATGCCATGATATTTTACCAAACATACTGGTTGCCCTGGTAAGCAGGAACCTGGTCACTAATGACAGGCGACCCTTTGCTCCCACAGCAATGGGTTGCAATGCTAAGTGTACAAGACACCCAAGGATGCCAGCAGTTTTGGGTGCAAAGAGCAGTGTGTCCTGGTCTGCAGATGACCCAGCCCTTCCCTGCGCCTGTGCATCCAGTACAAGCCATTTCCCCCATCCTTCTTCCCTTCTTCAGAAAGCATCCTTCCTTCTCCTTGGCAGAGCACTGGCATGGACAGGGTAGGTGAGAGTTTATGGTCTCTGGGACCAATAAATCAGAATAAGGAAGGCGAGTATAAATGTAATATGGAGGAGGTCTCAGAACCCTCACCCTCTCCACTGCCCAGAGGCATCATGTGCCTCCCAGGCACTGCTCTTCCTCAAAAAGGGCTCTGAGCAGCTGGGGAGAGGGGGTTGCATTAGAACAGAAACAACCACACCCTGGGCCAAAGAGTAATTAACAAGAAAAAAACCACCAGCTTTGAGAGGAACCGACCGTAACGGCTTTCCTTCCAACTTCCTTTTTCCTTCCATCTGCATCTGCACCTTCACCAGATCCGTTGGGCTGGCGAAAAACTGTCCGATGGCACCCGCAGACATGCCTCCAACTACAGCTTTCCTGCCAAACAGGAGAAAAAAGGTGCTCTGAATACACTGAAACTCTTCACAACTTGCAGTGCTCGAGTTGAAGAGTTCAGTAGCACAACCCGGGTGAACTGAGTGTAAATGGTTATTTCTTATACTAACAGCCAAAGTTAAGGTAACAGAAGAGGCGGCTGCAGGAACTTCAGGTGGTTAGCAATACTTCTGTCAATTTAAAGAAGGGTTACAACTTATATGATGAAAAACTCAAGTTATTATACACCACCAAGATGCTCTGCTCCCTCTCCAGGTTACATTATGCTTCTTACTTAACATTTAAAGACAGGATGACAAGGTACACAAGTAAGGGAAGGTGCTCCATATATTATAACAACTGAATGCCAATCTGAAATTCTAAACTGCTTGCTGATATATGAAACTTTTCTTTATCTCCCATTGCTACTAGATGAGTTCTGTTAATTTTCTGGTTTTACTTATTTTAGTAGAACCAGAAATTTCAGCATTATTCATAGTTCCCCCTTCCCATAGCATCAGGCATGACAAGTAATTTAGGTGTATTAGATTTTATAAATCCCATCCTAAAAGGTTACAGTTTGGACCCAAGATTTGATTCTGGAGTAAATTAATTCATTTGATATGATACTGTATGGGATTATAAAAGTACATGACTGACATTTTAACAGTAAGGATTTGACAATTAGAAGTCACCAAATTTTGCAAAACTTACAGAAAAATCTGCTTCATTCCCCACAGGCAAAGAGTTAATTCTGTGGCTGTGCGCCACTTGCATTGTCAAAAAAGGGACTGAGTAACATTTCACTGTTGCTGAAGTAAACTTGCAAAACAAAGACTTTGGATTTGCTTTTTATAGGGCTCACTTGTCTCCTCAGGAAGGATGCACAGGTTAAACTTGGGCTGACATCTGTCATATACACAGGAACAAAACAGCTTTTTTCCCATCACAATCTGCCTCTTCAGTAGCCAGGAACTTTCCATCTCTTGGGCTAAGATACACCACCAGTTGCCATCCTGCTGCTGCACAACACCTAGCAGGACCCATCCCTTCAGCAGCTGGAAATCTGAGATGTGCCACCCCTCACTTCTTTTCTGCAAAGCTCCAGAGGATTTTTGACACATCCACCATACCTTTGGAAATGTATCCTCACCCCATCTGGGTCTAATCAAGCTCTTGGGTGACCTCAGAGCTGAGCAGGACCCAAGCTCCAAGTCCAGCTTGACTCAGCTGAAATCTCTGGTTTGCATTACCCAGGCAGCTGCAGGATCAGTCACAGTCACTCACACTGGTGTTGGGTTTGTGCAGTTGCTCACAGCTTCTCCGACAGCCGTCACACACAGCTGTACAGTCAGCCATGACTCACCTGTGCGTCCCAATAGCATCTGGCCCATGCAGAAATAAAAGAGCGGCCAGTATATCACACACCTTGAGTCATGGCAAAGCTGCCCTGCCTCCACTCTGATCCAGGCTAATTCCTGCCAGCCCAGGACAGCGGCTCTTATCGATGCAGTTATCATGTTTCTCCATCTCTTTAGTAAAGCATCTTTATTAGAATAATCACAGTCTTAGTTAATTCTTTGAGAAATTTATTTCAATATTTCTTAGTCCTGTTGCCAACTGAATGAAAAGATACTGCTCTGGAACTAAAATCAGAAAGTCCTTATCGGTCCTTAAACACCTACCTTATATTTAGCCTCTTTAGGGTAGGCAAGCCATGAAGAAAAGACAGCTTTTAAGGCTGCAGGATTCCTACAGTAAGAGCAATCCATAAAGAGGCAAATTCATAAATATGCAACATTACCAGAAAGGAAAGCTTTCATCCTCAGACCTGCCAAGCACGGAGTCACGGAGATGTTCATATGCAACCATCCGAACGCCAGAGTACACTGTGGAAAACAAACGCAGGAGATGATTCTGACAAGGAGGACACGCTGTGATAGATCAAGAGAGTGGTTGTAAAACACTCCAGAGCTCGTCTGGGTCAGCTGGTCACTGCTCTCATGTTGGTGATCAAAATGGGGAAAGCGAGGGGGCTGCCTGGCTAGCAATACAAGAGCCAGGACTTTTTAGCATCAGAGAATCTCTGGCTGAGCCATTCATCTGCCAGGAGGCAGCATGGCTTACACCCACACTCTAAGGAGACTCAACCACATTGCTTCCCTCTCAGCTGACACCAAGCACAAAACCTCCCACAAGTGTTTTTGAGGTTTTTTGCTGTCACTGTATTTCCAAATAAAAGACAGAAAGCTGTTACCTGTGGCTAAACCACTAATGCATTTCTTCATCCTAGCACCTGCAACCTTAACTTTCTTTCCCAGCCCATCCCACTTCCCTCAAATAACAGATAATTATTGTTATGAGGACTCTGAGTGCTTCCTTGCACCAAAGACCTTCCTGCAAAGACCACAGCGAAATTATACTCTGTTCTACCAAAAGCCAGAATAAGGCTGTGAAGGAAATGGGCAAGAGAGGGAAGAGAAGGGATTGAACCAGAATCCCAAATATTTATAAGTGGGATTGCAGGGTAAGCTGAAGAAATCTTCACAGATCTATTTAAAGGACAAGATATGGCAAGCTCACTCCGAAAGGCTGCTGGCCACAGAAGGCAGGACTCAAACTCATCTCATCATGAGCAGATAATCACCTATGTGGCGGTAGACGGCCGGTGTGGCTCCTTGCCAGAGCTTTCGTATGCCCTCTTCTTGCACGATGCCGGCTGCGGTGCGCAGCATCCCACGGTAAGGGACCGCCCGGCTGGCGGCAGCTCCATTGCGATGAGAGGCAGCTTCACCTTGGACCTGCAGTCGGGTTTTTGTGAGGTCCAGGGGAAATGTCACTGAAAATAAAGAGCAGGGAACAAACATCACTATTGGTGCAGCTCGGGGAGAGACACCACACTGGTAACATCTATGCCTCAATCAGATTGGGACCCTGGGGGATGCCTGGGACCCCTAGAGGCGGCCAAAGGGGCTGTGTAAGCACCAGCAGGCAGCAGGGACTGTACCAAACAGGGGTGCAGGTGGTATGTGGAGGAGATTCAAGTCCAGATCTGTTAAAAGTGGCTCTGGGCAGGAGTAACCAAAATAGATTCCCATCAGACACCAAGTCTTTCTCCCTTATTTCTTTTTTGCAGATTTGTTACGCAATACATGTACTTTCCAAGAGACTCTGGATTAAACATCCTGTTCCAGTTTACTCTCCCTGAATAAAGATCAGTCCAATCTCTTATCGAGCATGTGGCTTCTCCAATTCTGCCCAGCATGGTGCGGGCACACGTTACAGAGTCAGGAACAACCCCACAGTGGCCAACGTGTAGTGCAGACACCCATGCAAGTATCTCTCCTACGAACCACCCTAAAACATGCTGCTTTGGTGATGCAGACACAAATATCAGTTTAGCCTGTTAGTTCTCTCACTGGGATAACTGGTGGCTGGGGAAGGTGGTCCACCTCGATCTGAGCTTCCCAGGGCTGTTCCTGAAACAGTATGGGTACATATTTGCTGCCCCTAAATTCAACTCCAGGCCAGAGGTGTCTCACTGGGTGATGGACCTTCCCTACCTGTCTTGGGCTGTGAGTTCCCAGGAGCAAGGGTTGTCTTTGGTTTGATACCTCTGCAACACTCCATGCTACAGAGTCCTCCCAGAGCAGGACTCAGAGGTGCCAGGGGGACGCAGTCAAAGCCTCAGCAGATTCACAGTCTATTCATGCATTAAGTTTGGTACTCATGTTTAAAGAGCAGCAAAGATTGAAAAGTTACCAATCATTAAAGCAATGCAACAGAACTGCCTGTAAGAGCTTGTAGAAATTA